AAATTTGAACACAAAAATATGTCGAAGATAACACGTCAGAACTTATTGATTTTTTACTGTAAGACTTTCAAAGAAGGTTTTGTTAACAGAATCCAAAATTTATTTTTCGTGAGGTTTAAGAAAATATTTGTTCCCTATCTATAGGACTTGTGAACTAGAAGTGAGTTATGTCAGACAACAACGTCTGGATTGTATGGCTGAAATGAAAGAAGCTATTGAACTTATCGACAAACTCAGGAAAAAACAGTCAAGTATTGTTTCTTCTATTAAACTGGCGACTGGAGCATCATCTGGAACAGATTTAATCGACTCTCGTATTTTTTCTTTAAAGTAGAATTTTGAAATACATTCTGTGTATTTAGAAGTAAGGAATGGTAGAAACTGTTTAGTTATTTCATGGAGCGTTTTTCTAATGAAAGCTATTTTTGTCGGAACGTGGCATATGTTCCAATATCTTTTATGGAAATTCCAAGAAGAATAAGACGCTTGAAAAAATTTCTTTTAATTCAAGCATTGAAATTAATACTCAATTCACTTCAAGGAATAGGATGGAGAAAATCTCGTTATCAGTAGCTGAATGTCATCAGCGATGGATGGAAATCGAATCGCTTTGTGGTTTTCCATTATTTTCTGTCCCAAATCCTGTTGGTATTGATTTGTTTATTCACAGTAGATATTATATTATTTCGTTTCATTTTCAAATTTCTGTCTAGAAACGAGAAGTTCTAGATAGAGTTTAGTATGTTTTTATTTCCATCATTTCGAAATCCAAACTTCTGAAATGTGTCCGAAATATTGTTTAAATGTTTTGCTAAAGCTAGTCCATATTATGAAGGAATGAGCGAAGTTTTTGGTATAAGGCTAATTGTTGTTTCAGTTGGAAAAATAGAAAAAAGGATTTTGGAATATAAATGAGAAGGATAAATTTGTAAAGATACTTATGCCGTTCAATAAGAAATGGGATCTCTTCTAGTTCCGTTTTAGAATCACAAAGTTTCGCTAATACATTTTCAACTCATCTTTTCTTCAGTTTAGTTTTTCATTAAAACTTATTTCGCGCTTCAGTGGCGGTTAGTATAGCATCATCCTCTTCATCTGGAAGTGCTCCACCTTCTTTAATTAAATTTTCGTCGATTCGACCACCTGGTTGCTCATGTACATACGACACTATGAACAGTGCAACAAGTAGGCATTCCGACTTTTTAAATTTTCTTAAGCTAATTCAAGACAACATTAATATTTACAAGCCAGTTAAATTCTTATATTACTGACGTTGAACTGCTTGAATTCTTTTTTGATCAGCTTTGTACTGGAACAACAGTTTGGGAATCATAGCTGTGTATCTTCCTTGGATTCTCTTGTAAATATTATTCAGGTTCTAATGCTCTGGCTGTTGACGAAGTAGCAGGGTCATGTATTTCGTGTCCATCAGCTGTAGACCACACATCGCTGTATGTATTCATAAGTTTGTAGGACTTTCAAAATTTTCGCAGTTTTATTAGCAATGGTAGTTACCGCAGAATATAATAACTAAACTAGTTTATGGTTCACTATAATTATTTTACTCTATGTATTATTTTTCAAACTCATTTTTTTCTATATTTTAAATCTACTTAATTTTAGCATAGTTATATAACATTACATTTATTTAAAAAATAATATCTGATTTTTAAAAAATGGCGTATTTTTGAATATAAATTTTTTTTATGACTCACCTTTTTCTTGATGCGCTTATTTCTTCTGGTAACTTAAACTTTCATTTCATATTAATGAAAAAAGTATTATATATAGTGGCTTTATTTGCAAGTTTTAGTTCTATTATTGTTTTCACAACCAAATTCTGTTTCATTTACGCGATAAACTTTAGGTTAATTGGATTTTTACTATGTAATTTGAAAATGTTTATTGTACCAAACGAGATTTTTTTGGTTACTGATTTCTCTCATTCTTAAGGTTCAGAGAAGAATTGAAGTCATTAAAGCGAAGTGTTTCAAACGCATTGTTCAAATCCTCAAAAAATAGTTCAGAGAAGAAGGAAAATGGAATGATGGAGAGTAAAGGAAAAAATTCGATTAATTCATCAGTCAATAACAAGAAATCCAAATTCTCTAGCATGTTTATGAAGTAGCGGATTCTATCAATTTGCTTACATTTTTGTGGTAGAGATTTCAAACTTTTGATTGGGGATTAAACCTCCATTTGTACTATCGTCGTTTCATTGTCTGAGCCATTTAATTCACTTAGTTATACCAAAATTTATTAGGTAAAAACTTCTTTGAAAGTATCGCCTTGCTCTTGATAAGTTTTCTGATAGACTAAATGTTTAGTCAAGTAAAGACATTCCTCTCGTTGGATAGTGTCCCAAAATTGTGTAATCTAGTAACTATTGTTTAAAAGTCAAGCTAGAAGTTATGTCAGAATTTTAGAATATAAAGATATTAAAATATTGTCGCCGTTAATTCACTTTATACTTTCACTGGGATGTGATTGCTTGATATTTAGATTTCAGATATGAGTTTCCTTTCGTTAATTTGATGAATACAACATTTCTGTATTGGTTTTGAATACATTTTTAAATGATAATAACATTTTTAGGTTCGTACGATTATTTCGCTGTTAATACCCTGAACTCTATTTTTATAAATTTTTCTTTATTCTTAAATTTTTATTAATTGACATTTTTTGATTTTATTAAGAAAATTCAGTAATAGAAATTTTTAATTGCATGAATTTTGAGATAGGAATAAACTAAAAAATTTTTTTGAATTTCCTGAAAGGATCCGTTTTTATTTTGGTCATCGATCGTGGTAAGTAAGTTTCTTGTTTTTCATTTATTTGTAAGTTTTAGTGTTTCAAATCATTGACAGAATATTGAAATTCATTTTTGGCCATGTTTGGCATGCCTGTTTGCTAATTTATTATTTTTGTTAATTAGGCTTGTCAATTTAATTAGACCTCATAATTTGCTGATATGCTTTTTATTTTATTAGACCTCACTCACAATCCGCTGACATACTTTTCATCTCCGTAATCTATTTAAAAGCAGTCATTACGATAATTTTTATTATTCTACACATGCTTGATATAAGATTTTTAGGTTGAAAAGATCTAAATTACAATGTAACCTTTTTTGACTAAAATTATTAGACAGGTAAAATTTACCTATTAGGTGACATGGATTTTTTGCATGGTTTTCTATCAGCGGCAATTGCCTGATACCTAGTTAAATTTCGATCCTTCGATTTGTTTGTCCTAAAACTTTTTGGATTGTTTCATTATTTGAGAGACATTTAAATTCCCTGTGTTGATAGTAAAATACGAGTAATTGCACAATATCATTTAACTATTCGTCTTTAATGATATCAAGATTTTGCTTAATAGGCATTAATGTGTCTGCGAAGTTTTCTTCGAAAGTACTGTATTCAAAAATAATTTGCTTCATCTGCTGCACTCAAAAGAATATTTTTAACTTGTTTTGTAACAAACCGCATACAGTTTGTGGAGTTTCTCATTTTAAAATTCTATTAGTGTAATATTTAAATATCTGCAGCAATATTTAAAATATTTGCGAATATTTAAGTATTGCAATCTATATTTTTCATAATCTCTGTCACATATCTATCAGATATTTAAGTATTACATTAATAGAGTTTTAAAATGAGGAACTCCATGAACTGATTACAGAAACGTAATCTGTGCAATGATGCTATTTTGAATTACAGGTTAGTCGATTTTTTAGTAATTTATTGATGCGCTGGTTCACTTTATTGGGTTTTATTCGGGTATTGTGCAGGTTGTACCATCTTTATCATGATATCATTCGTATTCTGCAGTGATAATGTATGTGTATAAAGCTTGTTTCAGCGATTAGTTGTTTCATGATACATATGTACAGTTGACCTCCAATATCAGTTTTTTTTCTAATTATTACTTATTCATTACATTTAAATGTGTTAGATGTGCTATAATTATTTGGAAATTGTTGAAGCAAGTTGACAATTTTTTGAGTTCTGTATTAGGACAAGCTCGCTAATTTTACACCGCCATCAGGTGTTATGGAAAATAATTTCTTTGATTAGTCAGGTTCTATTGCTCGTCAGTTCTGCTAAGAAAATCCTAAATTTTGATTTGCATTTCATTGAAAATTCGACTTGTTATGTGATTTACTCATCATTTGTTAGCATTCTAGAGAGCATGGCTAAAATTAAGAAGGTAAAGGATGTGAAACCGAGAGTACCTGTTATTATTTCACAAATTGATCCTGAGGCGAATTCAAAGGCAATTGTAATCAGTCATATTCCCTTTGGGTTCTTTGAGAAGGAATTGTTGAGTTACTTTTCGCAGTTTGGCAAAGTAGATCGAGTACGGGTTGCGCGAAACAAGAAAGCAAGTTTTTTAATCCGTTAGTTCAATGGATAGGCAGGCTCTGATTTGAAATAGTAAGGCAGAATAAAATGGTCTTTATGGTGTGGTACATTTGTTTAAATGTTTTCCAATACTGGATCACGTTGAGAAGACCGCGGAAATTTGCAAGACCTAAGAATTTTCAGTTATTTCTACTTTTTGCTTTACTGGATTTGTTCCTTTGAAACATTAATATGTGCTTCCAATTCTTCATTTTTTGAATTTTCCCATTTCTTCTTCACATTTCCGATATCTATATCATTTTCAGACTGGAAATCATAAAGGATGGGCTTTCGTCCTGTTCAAAGATTGTGAAGTAGCACAGTTAGCAGCTGAAGCTATGAATGGCTACTTGATGTATGAAAAGCGACTCGAATGTAAGCCTTTATATACCGATTTCAGTTTACTGATAGTTTAGATGAGGTAAGGATGGGTATTGTATAATGTTCCATTAATGTAAGGATTTTAAGGCATTCATGTATTTTAAAAATATTTCACTGCACGAATTTTTGATAGAAGTTATTTTTTATTACTATATTTCTCAGAACGTGTAAGGGATTCGTTGTAGGCAAAGTAATAAAAAACAAAAATTTTCCACGCTGTTTGCTGAAAGGACCACGACTAATTCCTCCACCTGTTAAAGGTGCACGCACAAAACAGCATGCTCTAAAAATGAATAAAGTTCAAAGTGAATGCTGTGAAAAAAAGTCAGAAGTAAGATTTTAGTTTTCGAAATCTATGAACATGTCAGAAAATCACTGTGTTGGATTTCTAGCAAAATATACTTGTTCTTTGTGCTTGATTTTACAAATTCAACTGTTTCGGCACAAGTTTAAGATTGTCGTGTTATGTACCAGTTTTAGACTCTAGATAAATCTTATGAACATTCTATTATGTAATTTGAGTGTTCATAATTATGTGCCCATATAGCTCACTGTTTTCGTTGACAAATTAGCGGAAAGATACTAAGAGTAGTACAAGCTGAAAAATATCGTCTTATTTAGTTCCATATTTATTCTTTCCTTAACTGCATACATATTATTTGAAAACAACATTTTTCTATATTGTTTTCATAAAATTCAGAAACGAATGTTGAGGAAATTGAGAGTGAGAAAGAAAAAATTATCTGCGCTTGGTTATCAATTGCCAACTGTTGCTGGTCTACCGAAAGAAAAAGTACTGTGTTTAGATTTCTCATTGTGAGCTTGAAGTGTATATGTTCATAGTTAAATTTTCATTTTGAGAATTTTTATGGAATATCTTGAGACATACTATTCGGATTTAACAAAATGAAGCAAGATTATCAGTAATAGCATAAAGGCAATGCAAAAAATTGAATAAGTTTTTATAGCTGAATTCTGCAATGTCATTTATTTTGAACTGGTAAATGTGAGCAAAAATTCAATATGGCTTTGTGAAGTGTAATAAGCGATTAATCTTGCACTTCTAATTCTGTTTTATTTAGCTAATGACGCCAACACCTGCCAAGGAAATAGATACGTTGCGAGTTACAGAAGTGAAATCAGAAAATATAAAAGAAAATGTAATGAGCAAGCCATCAACGCAGTAAAAAAAAACTGTTGTAAAGGTAAACTCCGTTTGTAGCAGCAAACTGAGCAGAAAAGCCAGAGCGAAAGTGTGTTGTAATTTGAAAGTGTCCCGAGTTATCGTTTTACACTGTAATATTGTGTTTTGATGGTTTTCGTAATAAATGAATTCTTTTAGCGATTCATAATTATTGTATTCATTAAGCTATAAAAGTTTTACTTTAAACTTTACAAGTTTGACTCGAAACTAATTTTGACTTGCATGAGACTAATGTAATATTAGGGTAATTATTGAAACTGCATTAAATATTGTGTTTGACAGTAGAATGAACGATTAAAGAAATGTCATCATTTAAGATAAAAGCAGTAATAAGTGAGAGGCTAGTGATGAGTAAAATATTGGTATCTTAGTGTGAAAATGTTGCAATCGAACAATCTGGTTGAATCTTTTGTTCATATCATCCAAAAAATTGGCCAGATCACGCGTATGCAGTCGGGAATTCATGATTTTTCTTGACATGAAACAGTATAAATATTAAAGTAATATTTTTGGTAAAGATGACCGCTTTTCACAGTAATCTATCAGTTTATACTTGTAGTAATATTTTGCATTTTTTCCCAGCTTTGCAATTACCGTCAAGCACATGAAAGCACGCTGCTAATTAACCCTTTGAATTGATACGATCTAATATTTTTCAAAGAAATGGCACTTATCAAAATGTTCACTGCATAACAGTCAAATCTCTATATGTCCAGTAATCAAAAGAAATATCATGGCGAGTACCCTTTTTATATATTTCAGCAAAAAGCATCACATGAAGGAATGTAATCATAATTATGCAAATTACCAAGCAGATGAACATAAATAACTTCATTATCTGATTGATAGAATGGGAATTGTAAGCCAAAATTGTTTTCAAAAATTTTCTACTGAGTTTAAGAATGAAGTTGGTAGTGTTCGAGAGATATTTATTTGAAATAAAAACTGCAATAGAAATTATTCAAAAATATTTCAAACATCATGAAAATAAGTATAAAACGTTTAGTCAGATTTTGAGATTAGTCTCTTCAATTGTAAGTAGTCAGTCACTTGTAGTGTTAATTGTAAGTGGCAGCAGACATAGTGCCACAAAAATTATGTTTCTATGATTGATAAACAATGGAAGTCTTTGTCAAATTAGAAGCTGAAGTTTTTTTCCAGTTTTAATTTTTGTAAAGGACTAATATAATTTGTGATAGAAATTAACAAGAAACGAGGCCATCTCTGAAACTAATTCAGCCTTTGGACTTGAGCATTTTTCATCTGAAATAACAATGTTTAATACGATCTAATAGTGATAACTGAAGTTGATTTATGTGTTTGGAACCACCAATTATTTACAGAGATTTGAAATTGCTCAGTACCTAAAGTTATCAGTTAGTCAGTACGGATTGTTTCTAAAGTAATGCAAAAGTGATTTTTGTTCAGCAGAAAAGTCATAAGGAACCATTCAATTGCAATGTAAATAGCAGACTAATTAAGTCCGTAAATAGACACCGTAGAGACTGATCTCTTTTATAACTCAATGAATCCCATCGTATTCGATCCTTAGTCCCAGCAAACAGTTGTCATCCATACGCTGTGTTTTGTTGAATGTGTCTTTTCATAGAGAGCCAATTTTTGTGTTTGTGTGATAACATTTTAATTTGTTGTATCACTGCTGTTTGTTTGGATGAAAACAACGCATAAAGTTATGAAGTATTCCCAAATTTTAAGAAAATGATAGACTGATCAATTGAATGTGAGTTTGTTAGTTAGTTATGCAGCTGGAAATCAGAATAGTCGCACATTATGGCAATAAAACTGATGGAATTATTTGATAAAATTCAACAACAACATATTTGCAGTGATGTTGGTGGCAGTGATAACAATCAAAATAATGCCGATGTTGATATGATAAGAATGATAATAACACAACAACAGTGCTGATGTGATTATTGTTTTCTCACTACGGCATTTGTATTAATAACAATGAAAGAAAAAGCAGAGCAGATAGTAGTCATGGCAATAAATGATCTCAACATCATTCAAAATAATGCAGCCAATTTTGTTAGCATTGTTATTATTAAGTAAGAAAACAAGCGATGCTTTCATGCGTCGATTTCCTCATGCTTCTGCCTAATTCTTTTATTGAGTGATATTAGTAAAATTGGCAGTGTCAATTTTTAATATTGTGATTAAGGAGTTATTAATTATGAACACTGAATTCGACTGATTTTAGAATTAAACAGTATCAGTACTCACTCAAAGAGAGTAACCAAAATGATATATGTTAGTGAAAATATTTTTGACAGCATTATCCTATCTCATAATTCTAAAAAGAATGAGTAATAGATGATATAGTATCAAAGTAGAGACAAAAAACAATAACATATCTGACAATTTTTTTAATTAAAATTACGTGAATTACGCATATTTACTATATCTACTGCGCTATGAATACAAAAACAAATTTCTGTAGTCTTTTAGTTTGCTTTTTTACCACTTTTTTGGAGTATTACAAAAGTATATTCATTTCTCAATGGACAGCAAATATTTCAACTTCTGAAGTCAAAAAAGATCTGTCAGATGGCAGTGCTTTCTACATTTCACGCAGAAAGCGTCTTCAAAAAGTGAATTTAATTGTGATCGATAAGTGTTTATGTTTCAAAATTAATTTTGTCAATAAAAGAGTCAAAGTCAATTTGCACATTGAAAAAATACTCGTTGAATGGACTTGCTCTTTTGTTCTTACTCAAGTTCTTAAGACTTTGTGCAATTATATCCGACTATTTCTGCTTTCCGTAACCATTGAAAGAGTGAATTTGCAAATTGACACTGTTCAAGCAGTGTATAACTGTACTCATGTTGAAAACTGAAAGTAATACAAGCATGCAGTGCATTGTTTGTGAACTTTTGTAGGGACAGGCGTTGAAGTTGGAAAAGTCTTAGAAGTGATTGGTTCAGACTACTCGTTGGCTTCTCAAGACGAGTGTTCGAGAGTGTCTGCTGGTTTTTTGCTTTGCTTTGACTCAATTCTAGCTCTAGCATTTGCCTGCCTCTCTTTTAATCACATTAATTTATGCACAATCGCAGCAATTTCACAGCATAATTGCCCTGATGTATTGAGGCAGATAATTGTTTCTATTATAATGCATTAAAGGGGAGTCGGAATCAAGCCAAGTCACTTCTTCTTTGCATTTATCTACTCACAGAAGGAAAAAAGAAGAAATAGTAGAACAGAATGCTACTTGTCTACTGCCACAAATTATCTATCTAACATTATCTTATGTTAAGCTAAACTTTGTTAATTGCCAAGCAAATTTATAGCTAACTTAAATAGAGCAATTTTTTTTGCAAAGTAATTTTTCCTTTCTCATTTTTCACTTCAATAACAAATTAGATACGCCGTGCAATCACTTTTTCATTTGTCTTTCTTTCATTTAATTTTGACAAATTATCAAAAAATTGCATTCAGAATTCGTTGCTGTTAGTAGTCTGTAAAGTAAATTGCTTATAAATTAATAATATAATCTAATTAAAATGAGATTATCTCAAATGCTATGTGTTTGGATGAGAAAGTTCAATTAGAAGCTGTGCTCACATGAAATAACGTTGAATTATTAGCAACTTTTAATCAAAGTATACTATGGATTTGAGAAGAATGAAATGAATAATAAAAGAGTTGAAATATCTTTTGTTTCAGTGCTGCAAATGGAGAAATTAGCTTGAAAGGCCTGTGTAAATTCATCAAAATGCAACTTAATTAAGCAGCTTAATTGATCGCATCAAAGGCAGTGATCTATTTGCTATTCAGGCAAACAAGCACAATATTAAAGCTTTATAATTTCTCTTTTCACTCTTCCTCAATTAAGCTCTTTGCTATTTTTAACTTGCATGTGGGCGGAGCTTTAGAGTATGTACCCAATCAGTTGCATGCAAGAGAGTAGGATGACATATCAGTAAAGGATACGGTACTGAAGTGATTCTGTGAAAAGGTTTGAAATAGGCGTAACGATCAGTGAAACAACAAAGATAGAGTAACAAAAGGACGCTTGCCATCAAATTACTACTCAATTAACTATTCCCTAACAACTGGCCAGACTATTTGGCTTTTTGTTCATCACTGGCTTATTGTTATTATCATTTGCTGCTTGTCACTAATAATCATTCTCATCACGTTATTATATTATTGCTATCATTCTAATCACACCAACAGTTATCACTTCTGACAAACTAACTTTAATTTTTACGCCAGTTTGTGTTCTTTCATGTTATTCAAAATTGATTATTGGAATAATAATTTGTTTACTTTTAGGCATCGAAATTTTGCAATTAACTTGTAATTAATTTGGAAAGCAAAATTAATTTAGCAACAAATGTAACAATTAGCTGCTTTTGTGAGTTAAACAATGCAAATTATTGTGACATGCACGCAAACTGCACAGTTTACAGGCCATAGTGTTTGCAGCTACTGTAATCATAATGCTTTTTCAAATTATTAATACTCCTCGATTACATTATGAAAATTGCATAAATACTTTGCGTTACGAATACTTTAGATTAGTAACAAGGTCAAAAGCGTGTTTTGACTTACTTTTTCAAAATTAACCAGCACTGATTTTTCTTTCAATCCGATTTCTTAGGATGTTTTCTGTATGAATTTATTGCAAGTTAATTTACAAATTGAGTATGTCACGATTTGTGAATGCTTCTAGGCGATTCATGAAGAAAAAATGCCGAAATTAGTAATCAAATTCAGATAAACATCAAGTTTTCTGCGAGAAACGATGGCGGTCGCAGCAGTTTTTCATTAAAGATTGACAGAGGTAGAGGCAATAGTCGAGGAAAATTCTTTTGATCTAAGCAGGCAACTTTCACTTTACCGCCATACTCTTACAGTGTACAGATATTCCTGACCCTTAATGTCAAAGTTGAATTCACGGATGCTTACAAATCAGGTGCTAATTTCTCTTTAGTTTCACAACAGTAAGTGCCAAAAATAATATCAATAGCAACAAGCACTTCAGAAGTTTTATTTTAGCTTTTGTAGAACTGAAATCGTTTATTTAACTTGAATGAACTTGATCTAAAGCTAGCTATAAAGTATATAGCTATAGAGCATAAACTAATTATTTTCAAGCCATAGCATCATATCATAAATGTTTGTTCAAAATTTAGATGGATACTGCATCAGATTCTGTTTCTGAAGGTTTCTCTTCACCAGAGCTATTGCAACGCAATTTGGAATCTTACCGATCGAATTCTCAACTCAAATTTTCTATACAAAATATTTTAAGTCCTGAATTCGGAAAAGTAAGTGGTTTTATCTTAAAGATACTGTAGATGAGTATTGACTTAGCTTACTTTCTATCGTTTGCTTTGCATGATCTCTGCAACTAATTTTTTTGTTTTTTTAAAATAATAATAAATTTTGCTAGGCAAAAGTTTACTTTCTGAATTTCAAAAACAACTTTGTTTCAGCTTTTTTTGTAAATTTTCCATAATTATCAATTGAAATCAATCACAGGTCCACTTGATAACTAACCGTTTCGGTTCTGTGTCTCTCTCATTAGCAACAAACTTTCAAACTTTCAATCATTTTCGTACAAAATAATTTTGAAAAAATTTTCGCTCTCTAAGATTGAATTTCAGTATAAATTCTTTTCATTTTGAACTTCTAAACTTGTGATTTTTGCAAATTATACACAATTTAAAGGGAAAAACAGACAATAAACAAATTTATAACTGATATTTGAATGATATCTACGAGATCCATTTTGAACTTTTTTGAATTTTTTTGAATGTTTGTCAAATTGCTGCTAGCGAAAGTTTAATGCAAACTTGTTTTCTTGACTAAAAATATTCATTTGTTTTCAACGGTAAGTGATTCAGTGCATCCTAAAATTCATCTTTCAATTCCTTCAAATTGTTTTGTTCTTTTTGAATTTCGCACTGATAGTTTGAGTATTTGCGACAGATGCAAACAAATTAAGAAGCAAATTTGTCCACATAATATTACTATTGCATGCACATTTGTTCCATTTTAAATCAATAAAAGAAGCGAAAAAGTTGCAAGTAACTGCAGCAAAGAATTGAGTGATTGAAAAAGTTGATGTCAGAAGCAAAGATTGTTCAAGTAATCTGTGTGCAGTGTTTCAGCAGCATGAAACAGTTTCCAAACCATGCGTGTCAACAACTCCTGACAATATAAACACGATTTTTCCAGCTTGGATTTATTGTACACGGTATTCAGATCGGCCAAGTTCAGGTTCAGTTTATTTATTTCAAAAATTCAAGTAAGCTATTGATTTGATGCAATAAGTAATATTTTTTTAAAAGTGCTAGTTTCATGCGAAAGTAATTTTTGGCAAGACTTGAATCAAGCAAATTAAGTCTTGCAAAACAGCCAAAGGCAACTAAAAACAATCCTCAACTATTATCATTGAGGATGCTGCTTAATTTTGAAATGATAAAGTAAAAATTCTATAAGTAGTAAGCTAAAATTGAAAAAAACTGGGAAAAAGTCACTTTTTTGACGTATATACCAGCTATCTCTCATACTTGCGTCATAGTGCTCATTCATCATTCCTTTCATAACCTGTAATTACCAAAATCGCACTTTACAATCACCACTTATCTATGATTTCAAATTACTGTTGAACTAATAATCGTTACACGTAATAAGTTCATTTTGAATTAAATTAACATTTTTAAACTATATTTGAATCAACTTTGTTTGAATATCGATAGATTTTTAAAAATACAACCAAAATATTGTGGAAGTTTTAAACAATTTTTTGTACATATAAATATCAAAAAAGTTGAACATGCTTCTTTTTGCAGACAAAAAATGCAAACTGTGGGGGCTTTTATTTTCTTAATTCAATTCCACAGAATAAAAAATTAATTAAAGGTAAATTTGCGAATACTATTGTGTCTATTATTGTAATTCACATTAATTATTTTTTAGGGCCGAGATCTCGACGTACAAAACGGAAAGAGCCTAATTTGAATGATGACGAAAAACGACCACGTACGGCATTTACAGCTGAACAATTAGAGCGACTTAAGCAGCAATTTATGGATAACCGATATCTGACCGAAAAACGACGTCAAGAATTAGCTCATGAGTTAGGCCTAAACGAGTCACAGATCAAGATTTGGTTTCAGGTTGGTTAAATTGACACAAAAATTAATAATTTACTTTGTTTTTTTCAGCTAAGTTTTCAAAAATCTTATGCATATTTAGATCGAAAAAAGAAGTTACAAATTTACGAATGATATTTGAGTGACATTTGTAAAAAGTTGAGATAGTACTAAAATTCTATTTAAAGTTTTTGCTGAACTTTTATTTTTGTTAAAATAAAAAAGATAACAAATGTGAGGGGGAAAATTTGTCTGAGGAACAGAAAGATAAAAAAAAATTTGCCTCTTTGTTTGAGTGAGAATTCCAGTTTTGTACATTTACTGAGCTGAAGTAATTTCAGATTGCTATTTCTAAATTGTGACCTCAGTTTAATTTGTCTATGAATTGAAATTTTCAAAAATCTTATCAAGTTTACTTGCTTAAGGTCACTTTTTGTATGACTAGAAGTCAGTGAAGACGATATTAATTGATACTTAAATTAGGAATACTCTGAAGAGTTTACAATGTTCACACCTCCTAGCTATTCAGCACGCACATTTGCATTTATATTTTGTGATTGAACAATTTTAATTATTAAATGCTTATAGCGGAAATTTTCAAATTACAGTACTATATCATCTATTAAAATGAAAAGTACGTTAAATAGGTGATAAAGAGTAAAATTGAATAGAAAGATAAGAAAATTATACGAATGATCATTAATTTTTGGCAGAAAGGGTATTAAAATGCGATAGAATGATCACTGTCATTCATACTTTTACTTGCATTACTTACAAACAATGGCGCTGATGATAGCATTTGATCATAATACTGATCTTATCAGTACTTTTATTGTTATTACCAGTCTTATTTAATTTGTCTTTCTTCACTTTTACAAGACGACAATTACTTAACTGACTATGCATGTGATTTCTGAAATCAGATAAACGGGTAGAAAGAGGAATCTCTGAGTGCAAGAAAACAATTGCTCACAATGATATTTCAATTTTGAATGAATTTTAAAAAAAATTTGATTAGTTCAATGAAATCACTTGATATTTCTGGGTTTAATTTTGTTCCAAAAAAACACTTTTTGGAAGTTTGTCTCGGGAATTTCCTAGATGAAATTCAAAGTTTGCTTACCAAACATGCATTAGCATTAACTTGTTATCTCCAAGCAAAGTTATGATAGCAATGGCTGCTTGAGTGATGGATAGATTTCTGCGCAAGACATCAATGGCCTATTGGCATGTGTAAGAATTCAAGTTATCTATATCACTTTAAGATGTAATTAGTTAAATTACTGAGATTTCCGAGCAAATAAAATGTTTGCGACTCTTTCAAGAAGTGCTAGCAGTCTTAGATGAATTTGTTTATTATCAGCGATGGCAATCTCTTAACAACCGTCCTGCCCTGTAGAAAAAGTTCGCCGCTACGAGACATACTTGACATTCTGCCTTACTTACATGAGATTCTCGTATGAAATAGCTTTTCCCTTGTCTGAAATTGCCTATAATTAATGAAATTAAATTATGTGTAGTAGTAGTTTGCGCATGTTAATTTCTTTCTTAAAATGTCACCGAAAACCTGTTCATTGATCGATTTAAACGTTATCAGCTCAAATCATTAGCATTTTTCCCTCAACAAATTCGTGAAGTAATTGGAGTTGACGAGCAAATAAATGAATACTTTGAAGTTTTTTCTCAGCAATTTTATGCATAAAATTTTGTTAGTCAAAAGAATACATTTATTTATCTATGACGAATCACTACAAAGAATTAGCAAGTAAACAAGCTAAATGACAAGCACTATAATAAGTCTGTGAATTAGATCTCCTCGGATTCTATTGCTCTGCAATCACAATTAGATTGAATGTCACAATTCCCTTGATGTAAGGAACTTTCTAGTTTTTTCATCATAATAGTTGAACAAATGTTAAAAAGTAAATTTTTGCTCAACGAACAGTATAATTTCTGTAATAGTAACAGAACAATCCAAGTTGATGCGCAAATAACTGAAAATAAATGCAAAAATTGCTAATAAAAAGTAATTTTTGAAGTGTCTTTCAGTTCTTAAAGCTACTGCTTGCATTTAAATTAAGTACAACAGATACTGTCGTTCGTTTAATATGCTTATATTTTGTTTTTGTTGTTTCGCCCCTTAGGAAATGAAGTGAGGCGAGTTGCATCAAGCACCAGTGAATAACAGTTTAGCTGATTTTGAATGATTTCGTAGACAGACAATTACTTGAATCATCCACAGCAAAGCAAAGGTAATCAATCACATATTAATGATTATTCGAGGAAGACAGATCTGAGAAAGAAGTTTAATTAGTAAGTAATAACAAGGTGTAAGGGGATTGCACTAATCTATCGCAGCGATCTCTTGCGATACTGAGAAAAGGACAGTTTTGGATGTGACTGAGCGATAAAACACTCCAAACAACCCATCCCATGTTAACATCGTCTTCACTTGCCATGTTTATCACTGCTTGCTATTTACGTGTCATTACTCATAACTATCATTGCATTATCACATCTGCATAGATAACAATTCATCTCAATTGCTCCTTTGCTGAGCACTTTATTGCTACAAAACGCAATACTTTCGCTTACTCTAATTTTTCCATTAATAATAACTCTCTTAAAACTGCGTTGCATTGTTTACTTAAAACGGTTTTCCTCATTTTGAATTCAACTCATAAAACATACGCATACCATTTATTGAAGTAATAATTGCGAGTAAATGGAAACTGAACTCATATACAATGCTACTAAAATCACTCAGTACAACATTGCATAACTTATCCATGACCAGAAATGATCACTCCTTTAAAATACTTTTGTCGAAAATCCATTACTTGTCTTTTACAGTCGGTCGGTATCAATTCTCTCTTTAATCAACCAAACTTGAGCAAATATTTTCGTTTCTCAGAAGCTGTGCAAATTACTTCAAATCTTCTGCCTATCTCTCACATAATCAAAGCATCATCACTCCTGCTCACTTCCACGTGCTCAAAAATATATGCACCCATGCGAGTGCACACTCACATCTTTTAATTAAAAATTAAGAACAAATGTAGATAGACAGATTCTACCAAGCAACCTCCACCTCACTAATGATTTGAATGTATTTAATATTTAGCGGTCATGCACTCCAAGTACTATTTATCAATCCAACATACATACAACACTTTAGCAATTTGCAAGTGCAAATTCAAGGACCAAGAAATAGACCTTCATTCTGTCATCACTTTATTGTATAGACAAACAACCTCCTTAAATTTGAAGAACTAATAAAATATGTACACAGGTGTTAACATATGTTTTGTTTGCAAGACTTGTATCAGTTTCTGATTCCTCTAGATTTCTTAATTACAGAACAAACGAGCGAAGTTGAAGAAAGCATCCGGACATCGACCCGTACTGGCTCTACATCTCATGGCTCAGGGACTATACAACCATACGTCCATGCCAATGTTTAATCAACGTTGACACCAAAATAGGTCAAACTTCCCTCTATAATAAATGACTCGCTGTAAACTTATTGTACATTTTTCATACCGTCATGTGTAGCTGTACTTTTAAAATGATGATGAAATGGGTAACTAAAAATATGATTCAAACCGAAGTTCCCTGATACTGTTTAATTAAAATTCTGATTTTCCTAAAATTATGCAACTTTTTTAAACAAAGATGACTAGTAATTCTAAGAAAAGGGTAAATTTACGTGAAAATTAAGCCCTTAATGTAATTTGATTCAGAGGATAAAAACTCAATATTACTAGAAGCATTGTATATTTTGTGTACTGACAACTAAAATCTGCCCCAAAAACTTGATTCTCCATCCTTCTTGTTTATCTCCACTAAAATCGTTCGCATTATTAGTGGGATAGAGGAACAAGTGTTTGGACTACTACAACTAAAATGTAAAAAAGTGTATAATTTATAGTAAAATGTAAGTTTACATCATAATACTGAGAACTTTGTCAATATATCAGATATTAAAACGATATTTCGTGTTCGTATTACACAAGAAGCATACAATGCATTAATGAATAAATTATTTATTATGTTACGGAAAATCCCTTTTCCATATGTTTAAATTACACACATGTGGTTCAATGGTTCAATCGAATATCTTATGATTTGTTTGTAGGTGACAGTGGACATTTTTTAATTAACTCTAATGAAACGTAAGCTGCTTTCAAATTCTTTTTCCGAGTCACCTACAAAACATGCAAAACACATTCCTTTGAAGCAAGTCAAAAAGACTATCTAGTTAAATATTTACAAGAACATTTGAGCAACTACGAACATATTCACGTTTGACACGCTTTACTGTGAAGTCACTTGTAATGAATTGAAAACATACTTAAAATGTCTACTTATTGCAAAGAACGCTGAAACAATTTTTAATGTTTTTTGTAAATTGATCCACGTGTATTATACCGTTTAATATAGTACCATGAACCAGGAATCACTTCTTCTTTCAATCGGTAGATATCTAAGTCATCATTCCAATATCTGTACAATGAAATAGTTATAGAGCAGCAGAGATTTACCCAAACAAATAATTAGGCCTGATCTTTAAAAAGTGACAACTGATGAAAACGTTTTTTTTAAAACTTGACTACACGGAAAAATATTTTTTTTGAGCACAAAATTTCTATAAATACATCAATGAAATATATCGCACACAATCTGTGAGTCTGAAAACAATCTTACTAATTACTATTTATAAAATTCAAACCTCGCAAATCTCTTGTATCCAGAACGGTCAAAATCAGCAGTTGTTTTGTCTGGGAAAAGGCCTGCCCAATGAGCCTACAAAATACAGTGAAAAACTAAATAATGTAGAATATCGAGTGAAATTAGAAACGTGCTCCATATTTACTGTAAATACCTGCATGACGCAGCGTATAATTCTTAGATGTTGTTTTTTGCATAGTCCAGTAAGTGATCTTGGCAACACAGTACCGTCCTCTCGCATGAACTGCTCCAAAATCAGAACGTCTGAATAGCGAACCTGAAAGTTTAATATGCTTCATAAACATTTAGCAGCCAGACAAAAATTAGTAATTAAATCAGACGAAAACCTTCAGGGTTAACAATACAACTGAAATATGAACATATCTACCTTTACAGGAATGTTACATGTACACAAAGTACATGTTTCCGGGCTATGTTCCAATACTTTACGATTATCAGTTTCGGGTACATCAACCACTTCAACAATTGTCACATCTCCTTCTACCTTTGTGTCAACTACAAATTACCATAATGAACAATTCTGAGCAAACAGTTACCTATTTCGCTATATACATCAAACAAAAACAACTACTTAATAACATGAAACAATACAAATAATAATGAAGAGAAATAATAATAAACGAGAGTGAAATGAAAATGAACCTACTGCTCACTTTTTTTCAAGAAGGTCGAAGAGGTGGTGGCAAACTGCTTTGCGCAACATGAAATCTGCCCAAAACGTCGTGCCCAGCAGCCCAAAGGCCTCAACATGTATGAAGAACACTGAAGAAGAACGGAACGAAAATAGTAACATATTTTTGAGAGAGAATGTAAAACTGCTTAATTGTTCTAACATAATTTAGGCTAATTCTGACGCGCCATTTCATTTCAATCAATCCTCACAGTATGAATAGATCGGTAAAACTGCAGCATTTACTCAACTAGGATTCTGCAGCTTATCGTAACACAACAAAAATGATATTCGAAATATGAAGGAGATGAAAGATGACGCAGCAACATATATCAGTGCTACGGAAAGGCAGAGAATAGTTGCCGAGAAAAGTTTTGAGATGGAATAAGGAATTTCAGCATGCCACAGCAAGTGAAACGTGAAATTAAGCTTCTACTAGTTTTAAAATTTCTCATGAACTCGTCCACTGTTACCATTTAGAGGAGTTTCTATCGTTTGGGTTTGCAAGTATTCATGGAGTTTGCGTCAAATGCGGTTGAAATGTAATGCAATGTCTGTAATTTAATTTAGCTCATTTTCTGCTCATGCCTTTTTGATGAGTACGTTTTCATGCGAACAGTGCAAGGTCAACAAATTAGTTTTGCTATGTAAATTTTCTTTTGTCAGTTTGCGAATAGTTCCTGTTATTTGATGTACAAACATGCTACAAAAATAAAAATTGAAAATGATGTTTGGGAACAAAGTTGGACTAACCGTTGGCAGAATATCAATGATTAGTGAAGCTGGCTGTCCTCATATGGTAGTGAAAATCTGATTTCTGAAAAGTATCTCTGAAAGTTTTATTTGTAGTTATAGGCAAGTTAGTTTTGTAACTAGTTTTGTAACTAACTTGCCTATAACTGTAAATAAAACATGACTTAATTTGATTGTAAATAGAACTTAATATGAATCAAATTGTTGGATGATTGTTAATATCAAGATTTAATCTTTCACTGCAGACTTTGCTTGTATGCCTTGAAAGAAGGAAGATTGCTCTGAGCGAGGAAGAAGCGTAATGGTACCACCTCGCAGGGAGCTCTTCTCGCATGTTTTTCGGAGGTTTTAAAAGAAATTAGACGACTAACAAAAGTTAAACGTGGCTTTCCACCCAATTCTCATACTTGACTGCATATAGTTAGTTGCAAAGAATGTACAAATGTTGGATTGATTGCCTTGGGGTGAAAGATATTTTCCAAGGTAAAATGAATACTTCGAATTGGTATAAAGTTTACGGTTCATTAGTTCTCATGCAACTTCTACTGTTTCCTACCAGTGAAAGCTCTCAATACGATATAGCAGCACACAGTCTTGATCATGAACACAAGGTAACATCTGTCTATTCCTTCATTTGCAAAAAGTTATGTCTTATTTCGTTCTAGAATGTCTTCACTTATCGTATTAGAAAAATCTATCTCATTTTTCAGGTAATTATTACAACAGATCTGTGTAGAAAATTTGGCTGTAAATGTGACAATTATAGCGTGGAATGTACTGGTATTGAACCTAATATGTTGAATCAGCACTTTTTCAAACTTGCACCAAATATTCACAGTATTTCTCTCCTAAATTGTTCTCAGGTAACTCATAAATAAGTATACTCTACATTAAATTCCCGGTTCTCATTAATTTTTGACTACCTCAGTTTTATATTTGTAACTAGTCCTAGTTATTGAAGAGCTGGAAAGGTTTGGATTTCAGTTGATATTTACATGTAATTGAAAGGGGTAAAAATATATGAAAAGAATAACTTTTTCAGAATCAGGTGAATCTGCATGATTTCTCAAATTTCACTTCGCTTCACAGCATTTCAATTCAACATTGTAATGTACAGCAACTTATTTATACTCCTTCCAGTTCCCTGAAAAACTTGCGTGTTCTGAATTTGAGTCACAATTATTTGTGGAACTGGAATGAAATTTGTAAAACTGTAAATCAGTATTCATCGCTAGAAAGATTAGACTTATCCTACAATCGAATTACCGATTTATCTCGTACCAATAATTGTATTAATAAATTACATTACCTGAATTTATCATTCAACAAGGTAAGATTTTACTAGATTTTGCAATTATTTTGCATAAAATGTCTCTGTAGAAGAAGTCGTTGTGTATGGTTTCAAAAAATATAATTTATATTGCTTGTGGAATTTGCGACATAAAACATTTTTAATTTAACTTTTTGGATTGAAAGTAAAAAACCAAATAAACAAACTATATTTCGGATTTGGGATGTTTTTAGTTGATGAGTATCAGAGAAAGATTCTATTTGTTTTCTTAGGAAATGTTTAATGTGGTTTTACAAAATCTTAAAATTTTCATTTAGTTACCATTTTTGTGTTCTTCATTGCACTTTTTGTTTTGTATTCTTAATAATGTATGTGCACTGCAATATTATGTTGAAATATATAATGAAACATATCTTAATTGCTCAGTTTTACAGGTTTCAGAAATATTTATAGTGCCTAACGCGGTAGCACTTGATCTCTCGTCGAATATTTTAACTCGAATTGCTGGTAAATGGCCGTCAGTTTTGGAAGATTTAAATTTATCAAATAATCCTTCATTAAGTTACTTTCCTTCACTCTCCTTAGTGCCTTCATTAGTCAATTTAAATATGGACGATTGTGCATTGACATCATTACCATTATCTATATCGCAAAATCTGCGGCATTTTTCCTTAAAAGACAACCGTTTAGTTGTTATCGACTTCAATTCACTCAACTTACCATCGTTGGAAGAGGTTTGCTAGCTTATAGTGACTATGGTGTTTAATAAATATGATTCTGATCTTTCTTCCAACCTTGAAAATTGTTTTGCATTTTCATTCTGTAGAATTTTGGTATATATATCTCTTCCATGGGATTTTAAGCACATTGTATCTCAAATTTTTAGAGTTGTTTTCAAAGAAGCTTGATTTGATACAGTTTTTTCGTTGCAGTTATAATTTTAAGATATATATGGTACCGCATTGTCTTCATGCAGTTATTTAGAACTTCTATATAGTTTTTTAGTGGCTTGATTTATACCAGCATGGTGCCATTTTCAGTTAGATTTAAGAAGCAGTTTACGATTGCATAGTATTGTTGGTATTTTACCTGATAAAGTACGCAAATTCCACTTGACTGGTTCTTCACTGACATATTTGCCACCAAGTTTTTTTGCTAGGTTTGTTGCAAATTTCGTGTCATTATTTATAATAGTGTCTAAAAGTTGATAAATATTGTATCATATATTGTAATGATGCTTAGTATATAGCTTCTTCCGTCTTTTGATTAGAATATCGCAATTCTTCAAAATTAGTAATGCTTTTTTATTCAAGTTTTCAGTGCTAAAAAACTTCGGTTTTTGGAGCTATTGCCGAATAATTGGAGCTGTAATAATTGTCTTAACAAATGGCTGGATATTTTGCCATATAAAATGAGACCACAGATATATTGCCCTAATATTTCTCATAATAACTGTTCATTAGGTGTGCAGCTACTTTTTTAATGGATTTACTTGAGGCTTTGCGCTGGTAATTTGTCATAATTACCGAAATAACTATATTATTCATGTTAATAAATGTTTTTTACGTTTACAGTTTTTTTTATGTGAATATTGCAGATTCGAGGTCAAAATTTTGGAATTGGCTGTGATTATAAAACATGTAATAAAATGTTGTGTCTCGTGTTTCACTTCTAGACTTGAGTACATATATTTCAGGTATTTTAAAACGAGTTGGTCAGAAAGAAAAATATATTGTGAAGGCTCGTTTTGCAGAAACGGCAGTTTTACCTTGTGATAAATATGGTGAACCACCTTTGACCGTTGAATGGTGGTTAGTTAGACCGGAAGTGTTCATTGGGGCGTATGATGTGGAGAAACAAATGGTTCGTATGAACTGGACACGGAATGGTAGTTATAGGATTGTTGCTGGTGGACCTCTTATGATTAACAATGCCGATAAAGAACTAGTCGAACGATATCGATGCACAGTAATGAATCCATTGGTAGGTTTATCTGCCTTTATTTTTTCTTTGACAGAACATTTCTATCATTTTTCACTGTAATGAAGTCTTTTTTTTTTCAAAATATTTCTTTAAATGAGAAGTTCAGACCTTATTCATTTCATTAAACACAATTTAAAATATAATCTGTTTATATTTCCCTAGACAAAAGTTTTTTTAGTGCAGCTACTCGCGGTTGAATATATGGTATCAAAACAATTAATTATCGACTTTAGTTCTGTTATTCTGTCTTTTGCAGTATGAGAAGATTTTAGTTTCACTTGAAAAATTATCACAAATCAATCAATTCACTTTATTTGTTAGGGCAATATATCACAGTTAGTGCACTTTCGATTGGACTATTCAATTTGGTTTCATTTGGATATGAGTGGATCAGTGTTTTGGGCTAGTTTTTTAGCAGCATTGATCACATGTGGTATAACATTTATTCTGAATTTGCTTTGGATAATCTGTCGACAAATTGGTTTATGGTGGATCAAAAGAATTGGTAAACAAATGTGCTTTTTTAATGTTTCTTGTGAAATTTTTTATTTGTGCTTCATCGTAACTAATGAACTATAAATAAAAAGAAGCACTAGTCACTTCATTGTAGAAAGGAATTCTCGTGTTCGTGAAATGGTTGTTGCTGTAGAAAGATATCGTCAACGTCAAATGACAATGCTCTCTGAAGCGTATCATAAAAAGCTGGAACAAATTCGAGACAATTATCATCAGCAGGTATCTGAGGCAGTCCAAAAAAATAATAATAATAGTTTTAAATCTCTATTTGCAATTTTTGTTGTTTGTCTTTGAAAGTGCATAATATTTGATGATGATCAATTAAAATGTGTTAATTTATATATGTATTATAACAGGACATTATAAATTTTAATTTTAAATATTACGAAGCGAAAATTATTTATATGGTTCCTTATTTGAGGTTGAGCAGTTACGAGTATCTTATACTTCCCAATCAGAGAGATTCCGCGATTATCGAGCAGCTCAGATGGAAAATATGAATCAGCATTTAGAAAGCATACGTGACAATTATAATCAACAAGTAAGAAAGATTAAGTTACGTGAATCGCTCATATTAGTATGGTCCATTACAAAGTTTTCAGTTTGAGCAAAATTTTCATTTTTTCCTCATTACCGATCATGAATTTTGCTCAATAAAGTAACAGCTAGATTTAAATGCATTTATTAATATTGTAGTTTTGTCAATGTTATAAAATTTAGAAAGTATTTCAAAATTTAGAAAGTATTAATATCCACTTTTAACTGAATAAGTGAGCTAATCTAATGGGACACATGGGGAAATTAATATTAAAATATTTTCTTGTTCTATAACAATGTTCCACTTCAGCTTTTATATTTTCAACTTTCGAGTTTTATTTTTTTTCAAAAGCAGTTTTTTTTTTTCAATCTCATACAATTTGTTGTGCTTAACTTTTATTTTTACTCACTTATTTTATGAAAACAAATATTACTTCCACTTACGATAGGTTGCGTCGAAATTTTTTATAGATGTGTAAATTGAGAGATTATGGTGCAAGACGTGTGGAACAACTTTGGGAAGGTTATGAACGTCAAGTCAATCGTTTGAAAATGTTTTCTCTGCAGCAGCGCTTAGGCTTGATGCGTAAATACAAAGTGAAGCAACAGTATTTAAATAAACTTGCAGCAAAGTTTGCTGATAATTCTCAAACATTCACAAAACCTGTTAGTTTTGAAAAATAATTTTAGATCTTCTTTTCAACTATTTTTTTAGTGCAGCAGATTGTACAGTCTTTCATAGTTACATTTTTGTCGCATTTTTTCTATTTTCATAAAGATAGGACTCTGCTGCACAAACACAAAAATTTTAACTTATAGTTTCACCTTGCACTTTACTGTGCTTCATTTATTTTTAAAACTAATGAATCTATTAATCTAATAATAGCTACATATACTTTTATACTCAGTAATTGGCTGCTTGGTTAAAGTTATACAATTAAAATTCGGCTAATCAGTGAATGCCATTTACGAGTGCGATTTTTCCTTTTTAGCACCCAGAAGTTATATTAACGGGTTCATTACGGGAGTTAGACATTGAAATGCATCGACAAATGGGATCATTTCATTCACTGCCTGATTATTTCTTATATGACGAAGATATGCTGAGCAACATACAATCTGAACTGATTCATGAATTTACTGATCGTAAAGCTTTCATGTTCATCACTGATGATATTGATGATGATGCACCCTGTTCCTCACAACAGCTGCAGGTTAGTATTCACAGTTTAGATTCTATTTTACAGTTAGTTTGCAAATCTGGGTAATTACATAATTCAAGATGACATATTTAAGTTGTGTTGTACTATGGCTTTTTTCAGGATGGCAGAAAGTCATATATGCTTGAATCGTTACCCTTTCGTCACCGATATTCGCTAGCGGAAGTAGAAAACGAGTCTACAACTTTGCATATTTCTAATGAAAACCAACCTCTCAGTAGAAATTATGATTCATCATCATCCAGTGACTAAATGAAGTGTATTTCGTCATTCATATACACCTTCAATAATGAATCCGATGTACACCATCATTACAATGCTCGCAAATTTAATTGTATATAAAACTCTTTTTACTCAGATAGAGATTCAGTTGATCACTTTCACTTCTTAAATTATTCTTAGGAAATAAAGTTTGACGATTAGATGTAGAATTAATGTTTTGATGTATTCCAAGGATTCTTTATTCATATGTTGATTTTGTTGCCATGTTATTATATGACCTGCTTACCTTCGTAATTTGAGTAGCAGTGTTTTTGGCTTTAAAAAAATACACAGTGAAGTTTGGCATGGTATTAATATCTCTAGTTTAGTGTTTTAAACATTACATAATGCATGCTTTGACTTGGAAAATATGCTACTTTAGTTTTTTAGCATGGAATTGTTGACCTAATTGAAAGAATTACTTTGCATTAAAAGGAACTAAGCTGAATGTATTTACCAAACAGACCTCAAGAGATTTGTTTTGAAGAGGATATCAAAAAATAAATTCTATTGAACCACAGCTTGCGTGCAGAGGAAGGTTCATTTTCAAAATTTTATTCTCAAATATGATATATTTTTGAATTAGCTTGTGTCGTACTGATATGGGTCAGTACTCTACCTCAAGCTTTGTCTTTATCGCAGTCTTCGTCCCCTGCATTGGGGTTAATTTTTTTCACTTTATTGATTCTGGCGCTGAATCGTATTCTGGCACTCTGGCTGTACTTGTCCCGCGCTCAGATTTCAATAAATCTCATTTCCGTTGTTTTATTCTCGTGGAATCAATCCATAGCGGTAATTGAATGGGGTGCTTTCGTTTAGTTGAGCACTATCGTTTGGACATATTTCTTGACGTGATCAGATATACTGATCTCCATCGCGTAGCGTTTATGGAAGTTCGTCACTATTCCATTCCAAATCGTCACACATGGACTATTTTCGTTCTGCATTTTATCTCTGGCCCATCCATTTCATTAGTGGATACATCGTACTTTCGCCTTTTTTTCTTGACTACAGTCAACCCTGTCCTAGCTAGAAAATGCTAACTTCTATCAAGATTACTTTATATCGCTTCTTATTGTGAATCATGACATACGGTCAGTCTGCACTTATCTTTATAGCTGTTGTAATGCGCGTATCAACTCTTATCTGCACGTTCTCATTAGCGGTGGTTTCTTATCATGTTAAGCCTTTCAGTGTACTGAATCAGATAATCGTGATTAATGAGTCGGACGCTTTTGTAATGTCATATCACGTAGTATAAAGCCGGTTCTCATGGTATCTGCATACCGCCAGTTTCAGTAGTAGCTGCTCTTTGACACCTTGAATCTGGGTAACAGTTGCTAATTACTTGTCTGCAAGCAAGTCCCCCACGTGGCAACATCCACATGACTTGTAGAGGTACATCATGCTGACTTATGAGGTTATTGGTCTGGACTCGGCTTTTCGGGAATTAAATATATATACAATTCTCAAAATAGAGATTAAATACAAGAAAAAAATGAGCAGTGTTACAGCTCTTGAACTGAATTTTTTTTGCTTCAGTCAAGTTTTCTTGCAGACGTTCGTTAGTTCAAACTAAAAAGTCTTCACATAAAAAACGGTAGTAATTACGATATGAAATGTAAACTATGTGAAAAGCATACGCATGTATATGGCATCAATTTCAGATGCATTACTCACTGAGTTATAAGCGTTGTGCACCTATAGAAGTCGAATCTTTTCCAAATGATTAACAAGCCTAACTATTTCACGAAGTCTACTAATTACTGTTATCCCTGATTCTACATTTCAGCTTACTGTTCTAAAGCTGGGGCTAACGCTTCCTTACATTACCAAAGATTATATTGCACTTTTTTCTCGCATAAACTTTCATAATCATTTCTTCTGAGTCACTAGAATTTAAAAAATCGTTAGTCAAGGATGAAATACTAAAAAGGAGCACAGATGTGCAGATGACTGTGCGTATGAATCTGTATATCAGTGAAACACAGAGTATGAATACAAGGTTACAACTGACGACTGGAGGGAGCTACGATTCTCGCAATATTTTTAGATTGGTTTTGCAGTAAGTTACTAAAAAATGTATTATATAATGGAATTACACGTGAGATTCTGTCAAGATTGTTGCTCACGCACTTATGAGAAAGGAAAGTTTCCAAATTAATGAATGTTCTAAGTGAACTTCCGGTGTGTATAGCATATGTTCTTGAATGAGATTGGTCTATGCTAGCTACGTTCTCTTCCAAGTTGTTAGAAAGATTTCTAGAGAATTATATCTTTTGTTCAATTTGTAAGAGCTACTCTCGATGCTTCTCTCGACTTGATCAATCCATCAAGTTTATTTCGTCTCTCCGGAACTTATCCACCTACATCTATCTGATCACTTAATCCTTCTTCCGGACATGCATCATATTTATCTCATTCTGCACTCATTAACAACTGCATATATTGCTGTTCATGAAAATGGTTTTGTTTGTTTTTTTAACCGAAATTATATTTACTTTTCAATTCTTCTATATTTACTTTTCAATTCTTCAAAGTAGAAGAAAGAATGACAATTGCTGTTAACATTTTGCAGTCGTTGTTTCTTATTTTTTAACCAACTAACTAAGTCAGCATTGACTCGCATTTTACATCATTGTTTTTGTCAATATGCAAATTTCCTGCCTTCAAATATTCTAATTAATTTTTCTGCATTTCATTAAATTAATAATGCTGTTATTATTTTGTATGGAAACAGGTACTGAATTTGGATTAGAGTCCTTAAAAAAATTTTATAAATTCATTGATTTGTTAGCCAATGTTGAATTTGCTTTCAGTAATACCGAGTGCGTGACACAGAATTAAAGAAATTATTACTATGTATGTAGTCTTTATTCCTTGGAAATATTGAATGAATTTATTTTATACTATAAATTAGTCTAATATTAAAGTTGCTTATCGTTTTGCGAGCTATTCCACTGTTTTAAAGTGCTCAGAGCAGGTGACTGACTAGATGAGTAGCTCCATCTTCAGCTCGAGGTTAAATCATAAAATGCTGCTTTGAGTAACACAAAGATTTGATAGACTGCTCAAATGAATATTTCTTTATGCTAATTCTTACTTTTGTGCATAATTTGAACCTTTTTACGATTACATTTCTTTTAATTATTTAAATTTTCTCTAAGTACTTTTTTTAAAACTTCAAAAGCGTACAAATACTGTGTGCATTTAATTACTTATTTTTATTTTGCCAAGTTTTTATCGCTAAGTTAGTTATCTTTTTGTGGCTGACTTGCAAATGTTTTCAATTACAAATTCATTAAGCTGTGACTTTGAAATTTAGACTGTTCCGAATTTTACTGAACTTTTGGAAATGCTATGCTATGCATTGCAAGTTAAACCATATTGTCTAAGTCTATATTTTTGAAAGTTAGATGAATTAGACTGTTCCGAATTTTCTCTATGCGTTTGAAAGTTCTGTGAATTGTCTAAATTGGAATTATCCAAAATTAGATTCCTATTTCTTAGCAAAATACCCCAGCTCAGCATAAAAAGTTTTCGGTGGATAATCTAAATTTATTAGTTCTGTATCACTTTTCTTATCTGAAATTAATATAGTTATTATGCAGTTTTTATCGTTTCTATCTGCAATTTAAGTTAAGACTAGTATTTAAATTCATTATAATCTAATATTCTTTCAAGTTAGTTGAATAATTCTGTTTTTAAATTCATTGGAATTTGTTTTAAGCTTTTGAAATAGTGATTAACATATTTTTCAGTCAAGAGTAATGTTAGAATGTGAGACTATATGTTTTATATGAATTTCACGTGAATTTGACGTTTATCTTTTAAAAAAGATATCTTGAAAACAAATTTTAATTATTTCAGTTATAAAATTATTATTGAGAAGAACGAAACTCTGAACTGAAGGTTGAAATTTAATTTCTGAAGTAATATGGAAAAGTGTGGAATCACAGAGAATGAAGCAGATGAATCTGATTCAGATGATTCAAGTTATCATAAACCGTTGTCTAGAAGACGAAGTGCCACTGTTTCTCCAGCAGCAGGCACTAGATTCAGGCACCACTCGAAGAGCAGGTTTTGCTTTCAAATTCAGACTTCAGATGTTACAAGCAGTACTAATTCTGATGAATTGATAAATAAATATAAACCATCTATACACAGCTAGATTGAACTGCCTGAACAATCTCTAAAATTCAAATAACATTTCAAGCAGTCAGTTTTAAATTTCACGAGTTTCTGTTTCTCTTTCCCACTTAAAAGTGTAAAATAACATCATTTCGAACAGCGTAGAATTAAGGTCAAACAGAGAAAAAGCTTTCGATAAGTCGGAGACTCCAAAGTGATATTAATTGAAAAAAATGACTTCACTTAATTACTAATAAAAAAATAGAAAGTACATTAAAAAGCAGTAACATCGCATTTATTTTTTCAAGAATTTTTACGGTAATTATTTTGAAAAAAAATTACAAATCCAACTTCTAACTTGTAGCTGGGATTTCAGAGCACTTTTTTAGTTATTTTCAAAAAAAAACTTTACGGAATCAAAATGAGATATGAAAATGAGGCTGGGAATACAGCTGTTAATGCAATCATCTTAGCACAAAGAATTATCTTCGCTAACCATTAATCTCAAATAATACAAATGCAATCAGAAAAATGTCATGAAATGCTATGCATCGAATAAACAGACGAAAGCAACGATAATAATTTCATTTTCTGCAAGAATCTTTCTGTTCAGACGTCGATCTGAGTTGAATCTGATGGCTCACAGACGGGCTCCCTCATTACGGAGACCAGCGGCTGAAGCTCCACGTATGTTTCGACTCATATTATCAAGTTCTTTATTTGTTTGACATGTTAAATTCGATTAATATAAACTTATAACACCTGCTTTATGCTTTAATATATATTTAATCAGTAATAAATATAGTATATGCTTTTATCAGATTTTGCTTACTTCGCTAAAATTAAATTGGCAAAAATTTTTGATAACCAGTATTATAGTACCATACTTGATAAAATCCCAGATAATTTTACATTTCTTAGATTACTCGTCAAGGTATGAGCAAAAAGAAAGCTTACGGAAGACAAACAGCATGCCAAGTGTTGAACAAACACAGCAAGTAAATGTTTGCAATTAAATCCAAACTTTTTGACGTAGAAAACTGTATCATTGTTGCCAAGTACAGTTGGCCGCGAATCGTTCTAACTGACTGTTTTTACTTCCAAAAAAGAAAAATGGGTTGATTTGTTGCTTGTTTCTGTATTTTTACAGTACGGAAGTTACTAAATTGACGTAATCTCACGATGCCTTTTATCATATCATGACAATTTCAAGTAAATAGTTTTCACTTGAAAAAAATGCTATCGATTTCAGTAATAAGTGTAAAAAGCATAACATGGCTATTAGCAATAAACATAGTAAAAATTTAGGCCCATGTGGAAGCTATACGTCAACTGCTAGATTCTTTCCCAATCGCTTCGTCTAACCAAAGTTCAAGCGTGCATGAAGTAAAAGTTAATTTGATACGCATGCAAATTGTTACCCATGCAATCATGAAAATTCTAAAAGTTTTCGAAATTTATTCAATAATAAAAAGAAATTCTCCAGAGTTCCGTCTTAAATTTCTATATTCAATGCTTTGATGAATGAGCATCCTATAAATACTTGGCAATCTCAGCGGCAGAACTTGGCCACAAAAGTAGAAGAACCAGAATCGGAGGAAGATATCATTAATATAGACATCGAAGAGTTACGTGACGCTGCGCAAAGTATACAGTCATTACAACGAGTTTTGAAAGTTCCTGTAGAAACAACAAGTAAAAATGGTACTATAAAAAATTTTTCCTTTGAAAAATGGCGGGAATCATCATTTTTGTTGATCTCACAAGTCTTCTGGAACAAAATATTGTAATTTGCATAGAAAATAATTGTGCTTAAAAGCTATTATTCAGGCAAATTAAAAAGAAAGAGTATTATCAAATTCTTAGCTCTTTCTTGAAATGACATTCTATTAACAATCTCAAAAATAATAATAATTGGATTTACTCGTGCCTCACCTTAATTTGAATTATTAATTTCAATTCATAAATCACTGACTTTTACTTGATCAATTAGATATTGCCGATATTCGAAATACGTGTCCAGTAGAGGGAGACTCAAGTTCAGAAAGTTTACGTCAGTCAGGTATAGCTTCGCGGCTAGGTGGTCATCCACGTGGTGTGATTCAGTTTCTTCATTCAGCCAAACAAACGCAATTTTTGCCATCGCAAGACACGTACATTCAAAATAAAAATATGGAACGTAAAGGATCTTTCCGAAGGAAAGGTTCTCTCCCAGAGTCCTATATTTCATACAGTGAAGTTTGTTCTTTTTTTCGATTTTTAGTCTATTTTCTTTTTTTGCAAATTTATTTGGACCTCAATAATCCTCGCAGCTAAGTGCGTTACTGTTTTCCTTAACTCAAAGTAGCACAAAAAATCTGCTAATCAGTTTTTAAGCTTTATGTCAAGTGTAGTTTACGTATGATTTAGGCACGCAATTCAAACACTATCATTCGACCCAAAACAATGAAGTGAGTTTTTATTTCATACACTTTTAAATTATTTCTTACTAATGAATTGTATCAATTTTTTGACGATATTATCCATAACTGAGTGCTCTTTCATCCATCAAACATGTATTTTTAAATTTGTTTCTGGACACTGTATAAGAATTTTGATAACTTCAAAAAATGTTTAAAAGTAAGACTGGCATATTGTCTAGCAATGCTTACAAAATCGGACGCTGGTCATTCCGTAATCATACTTCTGATCTCCAATATTCATCAAAAAGAGCTGAACTTATGGAGCAGAAAAATTCTGCAGATTCTCTAGCAGGCGTAAGCCGCTTTTCTAAATTGCTCAAATCGTTACGATCATCCCGTCAAAATTCCCCTGATCCTCAAATTTCCAGTGCATGGTGAAACTTTTGTTTAGTTTCAAAACGTCATTCATAAATGATAATTCATGATCATAAAATGGTTATTAAAGTTTTCTGATAAATATTTGTAATCTAAAGACTGTTCTTATGATACAAAAATCGAAGTTGTTTAATCTGTTTAGTTTTTAGATAAAGTTTTTCAAATTCGAATTATTTATGAAGTGAGCATTTGGAAATTTATGAATTTTTTACATGACAGCAGTTATTCTGATCAGTTTATTTTAGGAACCCACTGATGTACACATCCACGTCGACTGATTTGCATAGTTCATTGATGCATTCGGATGTATTACCTTGGAGTAAGCGTTGTCGCGCATCATTCCGAAGATATAATGACGTTCGCAATTTGGCGATTCGGGAACTTTGTGAAACTGAAAAGAGTTTTGTTGAAAATTTGGAATGCCTGATACAGGTTTGCTTCCCTTTTTTCCTGTTGATCTTAAGCTTTTAAAATTTATTCAAAAATAGTGATAGCTTTTAGCGTTCAGCAGATTTCTTATCCAGTGATAAAACTACTTCCTAGTAATAAAACTTAATATTACTGAGAATTATATCGAAATTCCACCCAAATTATTTATATACTTTTACAATCATCCCTTTTTGTTTTAATAAATCTAACTATATTTTATCGTTATAGGACAAAGTTATTGACAAATTTCAGAAATATATGCGACCACTACGGCAACCCCTTGAATGTACATTGATAGATTCTGCCCTGGTAGATAAAATTTTTTATAAAGTTCCAGAGATTCTAATCCATCACCAAGTCAGTCGTTCATTTACTCCTGAGTTTTTGTAGATTCTTCTCGTTTCTGATTCATACTATTCTCTCTTTTTTTTAATCCTTCGATCCACTTCATATTTTTGTTTGTAATTTTCATTCTTGGAACTATCTTTATATTTTTAACAATTAATTTTTTACCTCTCTGAAAGTAAAAAAACAATGATTTTTATTAAATTTAATCAAGTCTAAACAATGTATCATCTTTGAAAGTAATTTAAAATGTGTGTACGCACAATTAAGTAAATACTTTTCAGCACTTTCTAGCAGCGTTGTGCGATCGTTTGGATACGTCTCAAACTGAAACAATAATTGGTGATGTGCTTCTTTCCCACGTACGTAAGTGAACTTATAATACAAGCTAGTGAAGTTTTGGCTACTTTTTTTCATAATTCATTAACTGAAGTTCGACAAGGACTTTTCAATAAATTTGAAAAGTTCGAGCAAGCAACTGCTCTCTAAACCATGAGTAGTAATGACAAATTAAATTAACTTGTCATTAATCCTCAAATCTCATAGTTGCAGACTTGAACTAACTTTAATTATTTCAGATTCATGTAAACTTAGGTAATTAAGCCAGCAATATTTATATTCATTCCATATAAGTATTCTATACTTTAATTCTTCAACGAACTCGAGAAGATATTTTTAATTGTGCATAAACATTTCTTGATTTATATTGGAGCAGTTTACAGTTCCGTAAACAGTCAATGATTGATACGTACATTGCATTTGTGGATAATTTCAAATTTTCGAAGCAAAGCATAAAAGAAGCTCGTGAACGTCCAGCCTTCGAAAAATATTATATGGTGGGTCACGTGCTATAACTTTCATATTAATGTGCTGTATTACTCACAGTTTCATTTGGCCAATTTTGACTTGAAATATTAAAAAGGAAATTATTGCAATTATCATAAGAGAAATCTTTCCATACACTTCACTCCAACCTAAAACTTCTAAATAAATAAATGTGAGAAGCACATATCGTCTTTTTTCATCAAACTGAAATTTGCGCTTTTTTAATAAATTTTATTTTTAGTATGTTAGAAGAATTGTGCTAACCAGATATAGCACTATTAAGTAA